CTGAATATTTGTTATCTTGCAGTACTGATGCGATGGCATTGTTGCCTGAAAGTAGGTGACTGGAGGTCCTGGGTGGGGGACCAACAGAGTGGTGCCAGGAGCAGCCCAAGATAGAGGAGTACACAGGCCCAGCATGAGGCAACCTTGACCCAGAAGGTAGCCCAGCTACCCTTGGTGAAGGTCTTTTCCAGTTCTGCTCCCTCATAGCTGTGGAACCAAAGTCTCTGGTTAGAGAATATGTAGGACCTTAGCTTTTAGATCTGTCCTACCTCCCCACCAAAGATGATGGCAGACCCATGTTTGTCTCCAGAGAACCCTTAGGACTGGCCTTAAGTTGCTCTTCCTAAAATAGCTTTTCAGAAGTATGGCCCAGGCCCACTTCCATCCTACCTGAACCAGTTGGTAAGGGTAACCATGACATAGAGTGATGCAAGGAAGAAGACAAAATGGAAGGCAGAATAGCTGTAGGAGAAATGCTGGGCTTGCACTGGAGGAGCTGGAGAGGTCTCTTGGTCAGTTGGCCTGGTAGCCCCACCCCTCTGCCCTGGAGAGAGGGAAGGGCTGCTGGGAGCAGTGCCACTGAAACACTTCTTCCCTCCTCCCCCAGTTTCTTTTGTGAAGGCGCTCCAGGGCTCTTTGGCACTCTGCAGAAATCTACATTTTCTAATGGACATTCTTACGGACACTCACCTTCCTCTGGTTTCACTGTTTCAGGGCAGCAGAAACAGAGTGAGGGCTTCTGTAAAACAAAAGGCAGCATGTTTTGGAATGACTTTTAAGAAAGAATGTGAGGGTATTAATATAGAAAACTCCCCCTTCTCTGAAAAGATAGGCTGGTATACAAAGTGGAGGCACATCTGGGTTCAAATTCTAGCTCCAGCATATAACTGGCTATGAAAACTTTGGTAAGATGTTTAACCTTTTGTGCCTCAATTTCTCCATTTGTAAAATGGAGCAAATACCTACCTCACAGGGTTGTTGTGAGGATTAAATTAAAAGAGATTATGAATGTAAAGTATCTAGCACAGTGCCTAGCACATTGTGGGTACTCAATAAAAGGTAATAGCAGCTAGAATCTGAGTATTCTGGGTAGAGGCTGGTAGGGTGTGTGTGTGTGTTTGTCTTTGTGTGTGAGGGGGGAAGGGCATTGGGGATATTGAGCTCTCCATCCTCACCTGGAACTCATAGCTGTAAACCTTGATGATCCACAAGGGCCCAAATACCTCAGCCAGGTAGGAAGCCTCATTGCTGAGAAAGAAGAGACCGTTCTCAAGCAGGTCCAGTCAAATAGCAAGAGTTGCCTGAGACTGTATTGCTAGCTGGTCCATGTTGGTAATTCTCAGGAGGGTATTGTATTCCCAGAGCCCGTTCACCATAAAGATTTATAAATCTCGTCATGTGAGGGCCCTAAAAATCTTTGTACATATTTTTAATTCTCAAGTCATTCTCCCTGCCCCCTTCATCTCATACAGATCATCTGACAAGTGCTATTCTTAGAAACTGTTTCTGTTTATGGGGAACTTTCCTCACTCTTGTCTTGCTTTCAAGTTCAAATAAACCATGATCCCAGACAGTCTCCTGACCATCCTTCTCTGTCCTGGATATCCTCCCTTCTCTCATACCTCTCCCCTTGATACTTTTACGCACCAAGCAAAAAGCACACAAGTATACATGATGCCAGCACTCAGCACTGCCAGCGATGTATATGGTGTTTGCGATTCCATTTTACTCAGGCCAGGCAGGCACAGAGTGTGGTTCTGTCCTTCAAAGATAACTGAGAAGGAGCAACAGAAGAAAGGTGGTAAGAACAAAGAACTAAGTATTTGGCAGGAACAAAAGGTTTTAGCATGGAGAGTCCAGGTCTGGTCCTTACCACTCTCTGGAGGACGGCTGGACAGTGCAGAGAAGGTAAGGTACATGATATAGCAGCTGATGATAGAGGCCTGTAGAAGGCCAGAACGGGGTTGCTCTGCGGAGAATGGAGATAATTGCTTTAGTTTACAGGGTAGTAATTTCCACTCTGCCCCCATCTACACTATAGCCCCACCCTTTGGAGGAAGTAGACAATTGACTAAGATTAGGGAGGCTAATGAATATTTCTATGCTAAAGGCCTTCCAGATTTGTAATGTTGCAAGGCATGTACCCACTGAGGCGGATGCAGGGAGCGATGGAGAGAAAGGAGAGGAGGCCACAGAAACAAAGGTGTAGACTAAGCAGCATCTTGTTGAGCAGGCAGCCAGCTGGATGTGTGTAGTGGTGGAACAGGAGCACAGTTGCCACACCGGCAATGCTGTAGAATCCCAGGGTGGCCAGCAGTACAGCTAGGAACCAGCGGCAGTCTTGGGCTGCACCTGTCTGCCTAAGGGTAGGATGTGGGCAGTGGTTTGGGGCTCCACTTCTTTTTACCCATTACTATTCCTCCTCTCCTGGAACACTGGTGTGATTACTCATCCTACCTAGCCCACAGAGTCATCACATTACTGAGCTTTTTGGTAATGCTCAGTGGGAAGTTAATGGGACCACTGACCTGTCATGCCCTTTGCCTAACCCACTGAGGCTAGTAATGTCAGACAACCTTCCCAAGAAGAACCTTTGGGGTTAGAGGTGCTCCTTACCAGTTTTTGTTCCAGGAATGGGCAAAGGCTGTGATAAGCACCAACTGCAGCAGGATGAATGTGAAGCCTCCACAGATGCCAATGTAATGCCAGGCTACAAGTGGGGCACCAGTGGGAAAATGTAGCTGTTCATATCATTACTTCTGGTTTTCTTCCTACCCTCTCTTTCTCTTAGAAAAACTATCAGGTTACTCCTGCTAATTAGGATATGAGATGGAAAGTACCTGGGAAGAGATGCTCATCAGGGATGCAGAAGGCAATAGCACAGAGACCTAGCAGGAACAGCAGTTTGAGGAACCAGAAGCTGGTTAGGAGACAAAACAAGACTTAAGAAAAGGCAAAGGAGAGTGAACAGTGCCTATGGAGGAAGGCAAAGGAGAAACCAAAACTATAGGAAAGAGGAGAGAAGAGACAACTAAGTATAGGAAAGGAGGAAGCAGTCCCATGTGAGAGGGCCTAGAAACTGGTCCATCGCAGCCTATTCCAAATTCTAACTCTTATACCTAAATAATGTCTGGACAATGTTTCACAGTTGATAAAGGGTCTGCCTATAATAACCCCATTGTCATCTCCATTTTAGAAACTAGAAACTCAAGGAGGAGGGGTAAGTATGTGGCTCATGGTCACACAGTAAGTATGGCAGAAGTAGAGACTTAAATCTGTTTTTGGATTTTTCACACTGCTGTTACTTCATCTTGAAATTTCCTTTACTCAGCTTATGTCTACTTCCCTCCCCATCCTCACCCCACCCAAAGTGTATATACACAAACCTATTGTGTAGTTGTGCCCGCAGGCTGGTAGGGGAGTGGAGCTGGACTAGCAGCACAGCCTGCAGCAGGTGGAAGGTGGCAGTTCCCGCACATACTCGGTACACAGCCCCAGAACCACTGAGCACTGGGCAGTGAGAGTGGCCGAACAGATGGGCACAGAACCCTGAGGGCATCTGGATCTGGAGGGAGAGTCCATGTGAGAAATGTCAGGGCCCATCATCATACACAGAGAGGTACCTACTTCTCATGGGTGTATCCATTCACTTGTCCCCTACCCCCAATCTGAATCTTTTGTCCATGGAGGGTTTCTCCCTTTTTCTCATGTTGCAAACTGATCCCTCCCACTTACCCCATGTGCCTTCCCCCAGACCCTTTCCACTACTGTCCTTGACAGCAGAAGGCAGCAGACTGCTGAGGCCCCCACATGAAGGAGGATGTAGATCAGGCGGCTACAAGTAGACTCTGTGACAAGGGGCCATCTAGAATGGCAGCAGCAGGTACAGGGAGTAGGCCCACAGCAAGACACCTGAGGGGCAGAGCAGATGTAGGGCAGAAATCCTCAGAGATTTGCTGAGGAAAGGCTTACATTAATGTATGCATTAGGTTAACCCAAGAGGCTGAATTCCAAAATTTCCCTTTCCCTTTTCTTCTCTCCTTTTACTCAGGAATTCTCAGAATCGTTTCAAGCTATTTAGGATTGCCTTCCACTGACATCAAGTAGAGCTTTCATCATAAGAGCTGATGCAGGCTTGAGCAGACCTTCCTAAAAGCTTAAGTCACACCTGGCCTCTCACCTTTCTGTAGACCTATAGATCTGGTACTGGGAAGTGGAAGGGATAGGTAGTAGTCTCTGGGCAAAGGGAAAGGCCTCAGAGGGTAAAGGAAGGCCTATCATCTTTATTGGCTCCTGTGGGTTTTCCTCCCCAGCTTCAGCCACTGTTCCCTTCCATTTTTTTCAGATAGTTCTTGCTCTAGGGACCTTCCGAGCCTCTCTTCCAAGGTACGCTCTCACCTGATAGAAGGGAGGATTCACCATGACACTGCTGACTCCAGTGCGTTGTGTCCGGCGAAGGGAGGTGTTAGGGCCTGTGACCGCCTTTGCACCCACCATCCTGGTCCCAGGCATTAGACCCAGGTCCACCAGATGGAAGGTAGATGAGAAAGCAGTTTTCTTTTGTCCTCATAGGGGTGGTCACCCAGTTTAAGGTAGAATGGGGAGGGACATAAGGAAAAGAACACCGACCTCCAGGATGTGGTAAATGCAAATGTCTCTCTGAAGCTACTTCTCTCCCTGGCCTTTGGGCCACTCAGGCTGTTCTCCCCAGATTAGGGAGCAGTTTGCAAATCTGGCCTCTGGTGGATTAGCATTCTTAATTGGTTTAGGATTAGAGCGTATCCATCCTGGTTGGACAGAATTACTTGGGTGGGGCAGGGGGGCGGTGGTGTTGGTGAGGGGGGTAGAATCTAGGTGAAGAGAAGGATGTCTGTCGGTTGGGAAGTCCTGGAGTGGTGATGGGCTAGGTGTGGGAGAGGGCCTTGGAGAAAACAATACTAGAACACTGGAAGGAAGTCCTAGGGATGACCTGTTGTCCTGGCTGAAGCTTCTAGAATCCAAAACATAATGAAGGTGTGGCCCGAAGCCAGCCCCGCCTCGTCCTCCCCGGGCGGAAGTTTGGGGGCAGTTACCGGAAGTCTTCGTGAGGTGGGGCGGGGCCTTTGCGGCAGCACGGTGGGATCAGTATGGCTACCGAGGGGGATGTGGAGCTGGAGTTGGAGACTGAAACCAGCGGCCCAGAGCGGCCTCCGGAGAAGCCACGGAAGCATGACAGCGGTGCGGCGGACTTGGAGCGAGTCACTGACTACGCGGAGGAGAAGGAGATCCAGAGTTCCAATCTGGAGACGGTGAGGTTGGCCGTGAGCGTGTCTGGGTGGGCTGAGAGCGGAGGGGCCTCTTAGGTTGTAACTGTGATCCTCGCTCCCAAGACGGGGAACCATCTAGTTGGCGAGAGAAGGCAAAAGGGAAACCGTCATTAGAGCCCTCCGCTTGCAAAAGGAGCTTGACGAAGATTGGGTTTAAGGTGGACAGAATTGAATTAAACCTAGGCCTTGCTCCCTGATAACACTCGTCATCGCGAATGGACCCCCTGACCCGCTTATTACTGGCTTTTTAGATTGTTAGCAATTGTGGGTAGCAGAGCAGTAACCAGATATTTTTTCCCCCATAGGCGATGTCCGTGATTGGAGACAGAAGATCCCGGGAGCAGAAAGCCAAACAGGAGCGGTAAGTTTACGTACGTGCAGCCAGCCCTACCAGTCCGTCTCTTTCCCCCATACAAAAATAAAGGCATCGTTAAGCCTTTATACCTTGTACTGTTCTTCAACTCTGTCACCAGTTCCTGCATATATAAGGTTTACAGCCTTACTCTCGTGTTGGTTGGAAGGAAAGGCCTCCTGACAGTCCCTGCTGCCTCTCCTAGATTCCAGACAGGAGGGGAAGGGCATGTTAGGTGAGGGAGTGGAAGTCATTTTGTATTTTCACTCAACAGTGTTTGTCAGAAGTCATTTATTTGGAAGGCACAGCTGGGAATGATCCTTCCTGGGATGGTGAAGACTGGTGAGTTTAGAGAATGAGGATTAATGTACATGAATATTTGCAGGGAGAAGGAACTGGCCAAAGTCACCATTAAGAAGGAAGATCTGGAGCTGATAGTGAGTAGTAATGCTTAACTAGTATGGGCAGAGGAGTTTACATTGCGTAATTGGGGTTGTTTACTGAAACAAGTAGAGTCAGCAAGTCTTGGTGGCATTTTAATACTCCAGAAGAGGCTTGGGTAACATCATTGATCCTTTTCCTGCAGATGACAGAGATGGAGATCTCACGAGCAGCAGCAGAACGGAGCTTGAGGGAACACATGGGCAATGTGGTAGAGGCTCTTATTGCCTTAACCAACTGATCTTTGCTTTCTCAGACCCACTCACTGGATTATTTTATTTCAATAAAGACTTATTCTTATTTTGCAATTATCATGGATCAAGTGCTATATGTATCATGCTGTAATTTATTGTAGCAAATTTACATGTTGGAATATAACTGAATTTAAGCAACTCCCCTCATCCCCCCAGGATTTCATGAAATTATATGAAGGATCAGTATAGAAAAATACCTCATGACCTCATGTTCACATGCAGATGCTAGGTGGCAGGCCAAACTCAACTCATCTAACTAGCTAAACAGTATTCAAGGTATATTTGGAGTCTCAGCAAAATTGCTGAAGCCCGTGGCATGGTCTCTACAGTGGTTTACGAATAACTCAAAGAGCAGTACTTGCTAAGGAGCCACTGTATATAGATGTAAGCCACTAGTCTTGTTCATAAGCCACTGAATTAAGAATTTAAATACTGAGGTAGAAACATGGTAAGTGCAATAGAAGATATCAAAGCTTAGATCTTATACAGAATTAATTTATGAAAGACTTTATGAAGTTGATTTAGTATTTGAATTCTGAGCCACTGTTAACACTACCTTACATTCCATTTTCTATCCTGGAGCGAAGACCATTTCACTTGCTGAGCTGCTTCAACTGTAAAATGATACATACCTGATAGAGTTTAAAAGATTTTTTAAATGTTTATTCATTTTTGAAAACATGAGCTGGGGAGAGGCAGATAGAAAGGAGAATACAGATTCCAAAGCAGGCTCCAGGCTTGAGCTGTGAGCAGAGCCTGACACAGGGCTCAAACTCACAAACTGTGAGATCATGACCTGAGCCAAAGTCAGCCACTTTACCGACCGAGCCACCCAGGCGCCCCTGAATAGATTTAGAACCTATGAGTTGGTAAATGTAAAAAGCTTAGTGTCTGCCTCAGAGTAGACACTCAAATAGCTATAAACATGTTCTTAAAAGAATGTCAATGTCTTGTGGTGCCTTGGGGTACCTGGTTGCTGATTCTTGATTTTGCTTCAGGTCATGATCTCATGGTTTGTGAGATTGAGCCCCATCGGCTTCACGCACACAGCAAAGAGCCTGCTTGGGATTCTTTCTCTCCTCTTCTCCCTCTCCTCTGCTCATGTGTGTGCACGGGGGCGCACTCTCTCAAAATAAACTTTCAATGGCTATTCTCATTTTGGGTCTAGGGTAACTCTTAGGTTGTATCCCTCTCTGGCACCCACACAAGTGACCTATACTCATCTTTATGGGTTTATTACCTCATAGTAATTTATACTCTTATTTTTATTTTAGGACATTTAGAAATTTGAGTGTTTCTCCCAGTGGGGCATTTTAAAAGATTGTAAAAAGACGTTGGCCTTCTCATTTTTTTATGTAATTGAGAAATAGCCTTCCCACTGATTAAATGTCATTCCTTACAACTCCTGACTCCTAGTGCTCTGCCATGTGCAGGGTGGTTATGTAGTAAATATTAAGTGGAAAATCACTGAAATTAAGTGTAGCATGATGTCATTACATTGCAACTGGGAGAGCACTGTGCCATCCTTGATATAGAAGCTGGGCATGGAGAAGATACTGGTAAGTACTTAGCTTCCTCATTTCATGTGTCAACTTTTGTTCTAAATACAGCTGTAGTTTATTTTTTTTTTTTTCCAACGTTTATTTATTTTTGGGACAGAGAGAGACAGAGCATGAACAGGGGAGGGGCAGAGAGAGAGGGAGACACAGAATCGGAAACAGGCTCCAGGCTCTGAGCCATCAGCCCAGAGCCTGATGCGGGGCTCGAACTCACGGACCGCGAGATCGTGACCTGGCTGAAGTCGGACGCTTAACCGACTGCGCCACCCAGGCGCCCCAATACAGCTGTAGTTTAGAGAGCAAGGAGAACCATACATATTTCTGCTCATGGAGTAAATCTGGGTGCCACTTAGAATATAGCCTATCTAGCATCTGAGTTTGTTTCTGAGAGCAAAGGTGATGATCAAAACGTAAAACACTCAGCCCAACAATTCTCTGCTTTTATTTTACTTAATAGGTAGATTCTTGTTAGCCTGCACATTTTATTTCCAGTATCATAAAAAACCTTCGTGTATGATTCTTTTATTTCTTGACACACACACATAAATGGATCAAAAAATATGTTCACTTAGAAAAAATGACTCCAACCAAAAACTCAAAACAGCTATCTGTGAGATTAGATTTCCTATAAGGTAGCATTGTCCACTTACATGCCCATGTTTCTAACCCAAGCTAAGAGGCTGGAAAAAGAAACCTGGAATAGTCCCAAGTGAATTTGGGAAGGAAGGCAGAGATGTGATGAAACCTAAGATTTCTCAGAAATGGTTTTAAGTGGGGAGCCTCTAATCCTACCTGGATAGTGCTTTTCTGTGGGTTTCTCAGCATGAGTCCAAACCTCACAAAGCACTTTCAAAGACTGGGTTACCTAGTGTCACAAGTATGGCAGTATGTCCAATAGGCTGGATATAGGGGCCATGTAAATAACAGTAACATCAAATCAAGGACCAGATGCTAAGATGTCCCCTTGTGTCCCACAGCCGGAAGCATAAATAGTTGAACTCTAAGTAGTTTTCCGCTTCTTGGCAGATGGCCGTTCAAATACATCTCGTACCCCAGCTGCCTTTTGTTTAAAGAACTTTGTGTTCTGGGCACTCTCTTGGCCCCATGCTGAGTCAAAAGAGGTGGTGTCCTGATCCACAAGGTGTGTGTATTTGGTGCGACCAGAGCGCCCGAAGTTCTTGACCTGAAAGAAGGATAGATGATGACTTATACCACCAAATATCATGTCCCAGCCCTCAATACATTACTTCTCTCTTGCTTGTTCTTAAGGTACCCCATTACCTGCATGACTTTGGGAAGAATGGTTTTGTTGAAATGATCCTCCAGAGTAGGTGCACTGAAATCTCTCTTGTATACTTCTTCATCCTCATCCTGTAGAAAAGAATCTTATTAATCTTGTGGTTATTTCTCATATATTCAAATCACAAATTTATTAAGCCACAAGGGATACAAAGAAGGTACTGAACCTATTCTTCAAGAGCTTACATCTAGTTGAGGAGATGATACTTCTTTTTCCCTTTGTGTTGTCTTTTTCTTCCCTAAATGTAAACATTTCCTGAAGGTTGGCTATATTCTCTGAACTCAATATGTTCATTCAGTCATAACTCCGACTCTGTAGAAGCCTCTACAGGCTCCTAATGTCTGCTCCTGAATTTTCTGCTGCCCATTGTATATCTTACCTTGGATATTCGGATGGGACTTCAGACTCACATCTAAAGTGAAAATCATTTCCCTAACCTTTCCAAACCAATCTCTTTCTAGCTTCTTCCATTAGTAGGAACAACATTTTCTTAATTACCCAAATTAAAAATTTGAGTAATCTTTGTGCACAATGAGTTGCCAATTTTTTTTTTTTAATTTGAATCCAAGTTAGTTAACATATAATGTAATAATGATTTCAGGAGTAGATTTTAGTGATTCATTACTTACATATAACATCCAGCACTCATCCCAGCAAATGCCCTCCTTAATGCCCATCACCCATTTTTTAGAGAGAGTGAGCAAGAGAGTGGGGGAGGCAGGGACAGCACGGAACCCAATGTGGGACTCCCATCTCATGACCCTGAAATCAGTCAGACACTCACCTGACTGAGCCACCCAGGTGCCCCACCACTTCCTATAAGTTCCCATTATCTGGGGTGTAGTGTTTTCTTGGAATCAATCTTACACACTGCAACTAGATTTTTTCCTAAAACTCTCATACATTTGCCACAGTCACAAACTTTCAGTGGTTCTCTGTTTTGTTAAATATGCACAACTCTATAATAGTCAAGGCCAAATACTATATAGCTTTAATCTACCTCTCCTTGCAACTTCCCTTTATAGATGATACTTTTTGCCTCCCCTCCTAGTCCATTCACCTGGAATGTCTTCCTACTATACAAGTCAGAAAGTTTACACATCTTAAATGTCACCTCCTTTACTCTTTTCCATCTACAAAATAAAACCTCTCCCTCTTCAGAAGTCCCACAGTATTTTCGCTTGTCCTTTTGTTATAGTACAATATATATTTGCCTTAGCCCCATTTTTAGGTTGTAAGCCATCTGAGGGGCACGAATTACATATCCTCTAGCAGTGTTAAACAGTAGTGCTCTTAAGGTGCCTGGCTGGCTCAGTTCTTATCTCAGGGTCGTGAGTTCAAGCCCTATGTTGGGCATGGAGTCTACCTCAAAACAAAACAAAAAAAACCCAGTAGTGCCCTTTACATAGTAAATGCTCAAAAGGTTATTTAATTAACTATAAAATAACTATAGAGAATAGTTTCACATCAACCTGTTAGTTAAAACCATAATGTTATGATACAAATTACAAACGTGCTGAAGGAATTAAAACAGCACCATCTTGGTTAAGGACAACTTTGTGTAAGAGTGGAGTCCTTTAGGGGCGCCTGGGTGGCGCAGTCGGTTAAGCGTCCGACTTCAGCCAGGTCACGATCTCGCGGTCTGTGAGTTCGAGCCCCGCGTCAGGCTCTGGGCTGATGGCTCAGAGCCTGGAGCCTGCTTCTGATTCTGTGTGTCTCTCTCTCTGCCCCTCCCCCGTTCATGCTCTGTCTCTCTCTGTCCCAAAAATAAATAAACGTTGAAAAAAAAATTCTTTAAAAAAAAAAGAGTGGAGTCCTTTAACCATACACACTTTTGGAGTATTCTTTTCTCTTCAGCTATAGAAAGGCTTTAAAGATAAGACAGACAGTTTTTGTGAGATCTACTTTTCTCCTTGTTAGGGTGGAGAGTCTCTCAATCTCAGAAGATATTTTAACTTCACTCTCCTCACTCTCCTTATCCAGATAAGAAGAGTTTATTGAATATGTGAACCAAAAGACTTTCATGTAATCCTTTCCTTACATATCTTAGTCAGCAATGCTTCATAATTTTGTTTAGCAAGTATTAACATATCATATGAATAGCATCATCGTAAAAATGGTTAGCATTCATACTATGTAAAATTCTGCATATTAAGAGCTCCACATTAGTGTCCTACATACAATATAGTGTAATGGCT